GTGCTACCAACTGTGAGAAAGAAGGATGTCAATCCAGCCTTTAATTTTGCCTAAAGACTTTGTCATTGGAAAGAGATTGGCTGACTGTGTTTCCACTGGATGACTGGGTTTCTTCCATTCTGGATGCTCCACGGTCCTCTTGGAATCCTGGTTTAGATCTCTCTCTCTCTCTCTCTCTCTCTCTCTCACACACACACACACACACACACACACACACGTGTCCCAGGTGAAAACCCTCTCATCATGGCACCTTCCAGAGGCAGCCCAGCTAGGAGCCCAGGTGAGAGTCATCCCATGGAGGGTGTTCTACGTGAGCCCCAGTGTGCAAACAACCAGTGGTACAAAAGACAAACACAATTAGAATCTGCCATGCCAAGGCACTTCTGGGGTGTTCCTGAGAGGGTGGAGAAGGAAGGCCAGTGGGTATGAGAGGGACGTTTAACCTCGAAGAGACTCGGGCAGATTTCTTATAAAAGCATAAAATGGATCTTATTTTTTAATTTTCAGTTGTATTGATATGTAATACACACACCATCTAATTCAATAGTTTAAATCTATTAAAGAGTGCGCGAGTGAGTGTGCACGGGCCTGCGTGCGCACACACAGGAAAACCCTCAGTCCAAAAGAAAGCAGAAAATAATAAAAACTGGAACAAATTAAAAATGGGTCCAGACGGAGAACAAATGATAAAGAATTAAATTGTAACCTAACTACTTCTGCATTAATCGACTTTCCAGTGCACTCTGTCTTGATAGTAAGATTCTTCACATCCTGGTCAATAGTCAGAGGGGATTCATACGAGGCTTAACACACATACAGACTCTGAAAATGGATTTGGGGCTCTCACTGTCACCCATTGCCTTCTGCAAACTGGGTGCTCAGAATTTAAGATCTAATAGAACTCCCTCGCTCCAGTCTGTTTGTTAGGGGCCATCAAGTTAGTTCTAACCCATAGCAACCTGATGCACAGCATCAAACACTGCCTGGTCCTGCACCACCCTCAGAATCATCCTAGGTCTGAGCCCACTGTTGCCGTCACAGTGTTCATCCGTCTCCTTGGGGGCCTTCCTCTTGTCTGCTGCCCTTCTACCTGACCAAACAGGATGATCCTCCAGTCTATGATTTTATTATTTAAAATCCTTGGATCACACAGGCTGGTGCACTTCTTCTGTGTGGATAAAGATGAACTTTAAATGACATTGGGGAATGACAAACCTTCTAAGAGACTTGTCTCTCCACTTCAACCAATTTTCAATCATACCCAATAAGGTAGTTTTGTTAAACATTAATGAGCTTGGACAGAAAAAACTACAGCTACCCTGTAGGCAGGAAAACAAGGACTTCATCTTTGACCTCTCCAGGGGTGACCATGTGACAGGAGTGACAGCTTTTCACGTTGAGCCAAGTTGGCCAACTGCTGCCCAATAGGGACTGGTTCTAACAGGCTCCACACCCAACAGAAAAAGCATTTTTTTTTCTCCCAAAGAAACAGGCCCGGAAAGAAAGTCCCTGCCATTAAAGTGCACACCCAGGAAGTGCATTTTAATAAAAATTTGGGAACAGGTCAAAATCCAAGGTGAAAATTAACCTGCAGAGTGGAGGAGAGTCTAGTTGGGCTTGAAAGTGGCCCGACCACATCACAAAGTTGTCCTTGCACCCCTTGCCCGGAAGACTCCACTGCAGAGCATGCAGCGGCGTCGATGCGTTGGGACTATCGTGTTAGCACAGGGATCAAGTACGCCCTGGACTGCCAGTGGAAGAAACAAATCTGAGGTGAGCCTCCATCTTGCTTACTGTGGACCTTTTCAGGCGGGATTAGTCTCTGAAGAAGGACAAAAGGGTAAAGTAGAAGGTCGTCGAACAAGAAAAAGACCCTTAACGAGATGGACGGGTCCAGAGGCCACAGCAAAAAGCGCGAACACAGCAATGGTTGGGAGGATCGTGCAGGGCCAGGTAGTGCGACACAGGGCCCCTGTGAACTGGAACCAACTTGACAGTATCTAAAAACAACAAATAATCCCCGTTATGGAGTGGTTGCTAATTCAGCGCCCAAATGAGCCTGAGGGTGTACAAGGAGCTCCATTTCCTGAAGCAGAACTTCTTTAGGAAAAACCGGTTCTCCGTACACTGGGCCACTCGAGCTACTTGAAAGTTAACACTGTAGGGGCAACTGAGGCTGCTCTTTGCCACTGTGCCATCTTACCACACTGGATGCCCACTGGGACAATCACTGCAGCATGGGCAGTGGCACAGGGCCAGCTGGCAGCAGAGCACACCCAAGCTTGCAGGGGGCGTGTACCCAGGACAAAAGCCACCTTCTCCAAGGACCACATTTCTAGCACAGCCTAGCTTCTTTTTAATAGAAAAACCATCCCTCCTTTCTGGCCCCGTTTTAAGTGGGGCAAAGGATGCCAACATTCCTGCACTCAAACTCTGGGTTCCCTGCTAACAGGGCAAAGCAAAAGGGCCTCCATGGGACAGTCCTACAACTGGAACCATTGAGCGTAAGTTTACACCAAGTTTCCATAATGGCCAGCTCTGGTCAGATTTATTTCAGCCAAGGTCTCAAAACCAGTAAGATAAAATGAACGCAGCATCAACAGAAATGGTCCCTTAGAAAGCCTGTTAGATTTCACCGTGGCGTGGCTGAGTGTGGCGTGGTATGTAGAAGCACATCACACTGCAGGGTTTACCCTAAACATGAGCAGCTAGAAGAAAGGCTGGAGGTCCTCACGTTGCATTAGGTCCCACGCCTGCTGAAAAACCTGAACACTCGTCCCACAGAGGAAAGTGTTCACCAATGGCCCGAGTTGCTGCAGAGCCAGAGGAGTGGATGTCTAGGGAGGTCTGGGAGCTGCACGCTTCACCCTGAATCACTGGAGTCTCTGCATCTGGATAAGCAATGGCAGAAAAAAACACTGCAATAGAGAATCCCTCTTTTCTCAGAAATGTTAAGGCATCCTGTGTGATCCCAGGATTGTAAATAGTAAAGTCGAAGACCAGAGGAGGGTACTGCTTTAGAGCTTGTGGTATTTACATCATGTCATGTCAACTTGAGTGAAGGGGTGGGGTTAAGCCTGTCAATCAGGTCCCAGCCTGATGATGCCTCCTGGTGGGCGTGACCTTCTCATGAGCATTCTGGGAACTTCCTCTCTTTCTCCCTGGAGGTGGGCTACACACTTTCTCTCTGCTTCCCTTTCCTGCTGTTGAGACACAGAGAACTAGAGGATCCACGGAGACCCTCGCCAGTACTGAGATGCTTCCACTGCCACTGGATCCACAAGACTTTTCACCCACCGGCCTGTGATCTTGCCGCAATTCGGCAACTTTGCATGTGCTGCATGAGTCTGCAGAGGAATTTATAGACTAGTATTAGACATAGGGGTTAATACCAGACTTATGGACTTGACTTAGACTGGGCTGTTTGCTCAATAGCCTATTGCTCTATGATATAAAGCTCTCTTACAAATGCATGAGTATCCCTGGATTTCTCACTAGTAAAACCTGGCCTAACACTGAGCTTAAATTCTGAGCACACAGTCTATAGGCAGCCATGGATGACTGTGAAAGCCCCAAATTCATTTGCGGCATCCCTACATGGATTCACACTCCTGTGAATTCCCTCTGACAGTTGGCCAGGGATGTGAATAGCCTTGCTATCAAGACCAAGTACACTGGAAAGTGGATTCATGCCGATCTTAGGTAAACAGTTTCACACCTTATCATTTGGTTCTCCCTTTTGACCCACATTTGTTCTAGGTTTTATTCTTTTGGATGTTTTTCTGATTTTTGCTCATTTTTCTTATGTGAAATGCAAGAAAGGTAAATCTAGAGACAAGAACTGGATTAATAGCTCCTTAGGGTTATGATAGGGGAGGTAGCGGGGTTACATAGCTTCATGTCAACTTGATGTGAGTACAAGAATGGAGAAAATGTTCTCAAATGGATTGTGGGGATGGCACGATTTTTTGATATGTTGAAACCGCTGAATTGGAGGATGTGGGGATTGTGTGCATAAAATTGTTAAAATTTTAAAAAGTGTTGAGGGATCCACCTTCCATGTCCTCGGCATCACAGACCTATCAAGCTGGGGACAAGCCAGTTTCACCTTTCCCGGTCAACCGTCCTCTTCGTCCAGTGGTGCAGGACTCCTACATAAAGGGTCATTTATATAGCGACCAAGTAGTAGCACAAGGCATCCTTCGACAGAGGGGTTTAAATGAAATGGACACAAATCTGCTGCTCCAATGTTGGAAACCTGGACAAAAGAGGTGAATTTCGAACCGGGGTTCCTTGTTGAAATGTACTCATATGTTACTTGCTTTGACGTAGATGGCAGCGTCAAGAAAAGAAAACTGGCCTATCTACAGCATCTGCAAACACACGCGCGAAAGAGCACAAGTATGCTTGATGAGCCGTTGGATTTGTCCGAAACGTACCTGGTATGCTGTGCTAAATACTGTCCTCTTCCCCTTCTGCCGGTGAACGACAGTGACAAGACCCACTTTCCGTCCCCATGTGAATAAAATGGCATGCACGATATAGCGCCTCCCTTCCCCCAGCCTCCTTCTAGGGCTTATAGAAAATACGGAGGGTCCACACAAAGCATCAAGGAGCCCTGGAGGGGTTAAGCATCTGGCTGGTCATGGCAAGGTCAGCTCTTCCAACCCACAGCTGCCCCGTGGGAGAAAGTCAAGATCTACAGCCTCAGAAGCCCTAGGGGACAGTTCTACCCTGAGTCAAAACTCGATGCCGATGGCTTGGTGTGGGTTTTTGTGTGTGAAGCATCCACATGCCATGCCTGGCTCCCATGTGTGTGGTTGTGTCCATCTTCTCCTTCCAGTGCCGTGAGGCCCCAGGTGGAGACCAGGCAGTAGCATGGTTTTAGAAATCTGTGTGTTGAGATAAATGTGACTCTTCTAGTGTTTACAGGAAGGTGCGAGTTGAAGACTGGTTCAGAGGCCTTCGCTTGGGAAACATATGGAGACATGTTTGGGGTGTTGCTTTCAGTCACAGAACTTTATTTCGAAGCCAAGTTTAAGGATCCAAAGATTAAAGCACAAAGCAAAACAAGAACACAACAGCTCTGGTTGTCTCTGTGCTGCTGATTCCAGTGGAGAAAAGGAATTCTACTGAATGCCTGACAAATGATGTCCCTGGAATGGGGATCAATTAAAGGGCCTTTGCTGGTGGTTTAGAGGAACTCCAGCTGCAATGTTCCCATTCAATGGCCTTCTGGTTTTAACTATCAACGCATCTCTTTTTCTAAAGGAAAACACTAATAATAAATACTTCAGTGGTGTGAGTTACCTAACCCCCTTACAGTCATCCTCAGAGAATCTCCGTCAGTAGAAAGGAGAAGTGAGCTACTTAAGACACAATGTGGGGAAAAGCAACACAAACTCAAGGGAGTTAATCTCTGGTCCGTTGCCATAATATACTCAGGCTTGCTAGAGTACCTGGCCACGGTGACTGGATGGTAATGATTCATTGACTGATGAACACCTTGATTTCACCGCCACTTGGTACTCTCCCATCTCAGAAACGTATGACCTTGATCAAGTCCCACTCATTCCTAGCTTGGTAACTAATCCACACAGGGCTTTCAGGAGAACTAACTCTTCAGTCTTAGGATATAAACTCTTAGGCATCTTAAAGTCATTATTTAGACGGAGATAAATTAAGTTACCTACCTATACCACCTCTACCCCACAGCCTAGCTCTGGAAAATGCAAATTCGAGAGAGAGATGGGGAGTTGGGAGGGGTGCGGCCGGCAGAAAGCTCAGCACCCACGACACACCCCAGGCTGCTGCTCCTGCATCGGGTCAGAGGTCACCCTCCCCTCGGGGAAGATGTTATTTGGCAGCAGGTTTCACTTTTCCCTGGTCCTCGACTTTCTTAATGGCTGCTTGGATCGCCTCTTGGTTGCCCAGGAACTGGTGAGGTCCCACGGCATGCAGGTTCTCATCCAGCTCCAGGAGGATGGGGACCCCGGTGGGGAGGGTGATGTTGATGATGTCTTCGTCGGAGATACCTGTGGAGCAGGAGAGGAAGGGAAGGGCGTTACCAGCAACCTCAGAGAAAGTCCTGGTTGGGTGCTTCACTGCCACTTACTTCGTCCCACCCTGACTCCACGCCTGGAACCAAACCAGCAACGGTTCCTGGAAGCCAAGAAGTTTCCAAGAAGTTAAAAGTCCTAAACATCATCACATTCTCAATCCCCGGGCAGTCAATCTCCTGTGGGGGCAGCGTGTTCCTGGATGCTTCCTTCCCAAAGACGAAAAGAATGGACATGTATTCTCCCCAAGCTCACGTTCATGTCCCTGGTTTCCCACAGGAATGACTGGATCTTGGAAAAATCTAAACAGCAACCTCAGGAGCCTTTTCCTGGTTTGGGAAATTTTTTTTTGGTGGGGGGTGTTGTTGTTTCTTCATTTACATGCTGGCCTGGGTTAGCCCTAAAATTAGGACTGTTCCCTAATTTCTGAATCGACCTCATCTGATTTGAATATGCTTGGTCTTCCAACACCAGGTGAGCTTGCAAGCGGTCGGGCTGGATCCAGAAGAGCTGATGCCAACGCTCCCTGGGCTGCTCAGGGCGCATGGCCCAAAGGGCCCTGGAAAGATGGCCGTGGCAGGACTTCTAAATGGGCCTCCTCCTCCTCTCGCCCCATCCCCACTGCCACCCTGTGACCCTGCAGTCCCATCCACGCAGGCAGACCACCACACACTACAGCCAGGGAGGAAGCTGCGTATTGAACCCACTACCCTCAACCCTTTGTGAAATGCAGCAGAGTTACAGGGACTTATTCATCGTGGACCATGAGAGCGGGTGCAGTCCTAAGGGCAGAGTGACCATCATGCTGTGACTGCGACTACTATTAGCAACCGGGACTGAACGGCACGCATGTGACACGTCAGATACTCTCCTATGCACCTTTTATGTTGTGACTTGCGTAATCATGACTGTCGTCCTGGGAGGGTGTACGCTTTTACAAGAGATTCATACAGAGCCGAGATTCAAGCCCAGGCACCCGAACTGATGACTTAATGTACCGCTGTCCTTACTACCTCCAAGTCCAAAATGGGAAAAGTCAAGGAAGGTGGAAAGAAATGGTGCTGAGCACATTAAAAGGCAACTGAAAGGAGTGTCCTCCTTCACACACACACCTTTATGACTGAGGTGTCTCAAGGTAAACCACCTGCTTCTGCTGCAGATTAACAGAAAAGACGGAGGTCAAGCAGAACGACTCATTCTGGGGGGGTCCAAGGGTCTGTCTTTACCTGGGGGTTGGGGGTGGCAGAATAAGTTATCCCCAGTTAGTTATCAATGCACTTTGTTATTTAATTAGTCACTGGTCATACCACGAGCCCCAGCCAAAGACCAGAGGATCACAGAATTCTTTACTAGAATTTCCTGTCTGAGCCCAGAAGAGTGACCACGGAGTTCTCATCACAAACTTCACAGCCCCAGGCAGCTGGGCAAAAGGGGAAAGAAGCCTTCCTTCGCAGGTAGCATCTCTATGTTGGCCATCTCCTCCCTCGCCACCCCGCCTTCGTTACACCAGCTCCCTCACTTTAAACCCTGCATAAGCAAGACGGAAAGAGAATCGGTGCATGTGAATGACGGTGCTGTCGAAGGACCACGGACGGCCAGAGGAACCAACACATCTGTCTTGGGAGGACAGCCAGAATGCTCCTTCGAAGAAGCAAGGATGGGGAGACTTTGTCTCTCGCCCTTGGGGCATGGTATCAGGAGAGATCAGTTCTCGGAGAAGGGCATCTTGCTTGGTAAAGTAGGGGGCAGTGAAAAGGAGGAAGACCCTGGGCATGACAGAAGGACCCAGTGGCTGCAACAATGGGCTCGGACATTAAGAACAGCTGGCAGGATGGCTTGGGAGCAGGTGAAGGTTTCTTCTGTTGTCCGTGAGTCAGAGCTGACCCAAGGGCACCTAACATTAGACACGTAACCTCACTGGACTGTCATTTCCCCCCATCTTGTAAATAACAAAAGCAATCCACACTCTCCTACCCCACAACGGCACAGAGTGTGGGAAGCAAGGGGGTGTGGGCTTTCACGAGAACCCACATGGAACACAGGACCGATCGCAAAGCAGGGTGCTTGCTTCCCTTCTAGACAGAAAGGATTACCTGAAGCCTAGGGTAGGCTATTCAGATGTGATTCTACCCTGCCCACCCTGCAGCCCTACAATTCTATTCCAGCTGGACCACCACGTCAGACCGGTCAGCCAGCTGTTTTAACTGGGATATGGCTGCCCTGGGTTCTGAGGGCCCTCGGGCTCCATCAGGCCCATCTGTGGGTTGGCTGCCAGCAGCTGCCAGAGCCTCCCCTTGGAGATAGGAGAAGGGGAATTCAACCATGGGTGGCAGGGAGCCAGATCTGGGGCATGCTCTGAAGGGTTCCACACCTCCCTCCCTCAGCTGGCCAGCAAAGGAGGTTCTGTTATGTGATTAGTGCCCAAGGGAAGGATTCTGGTGGTCTCACATGTTAATTTCATCTAAACCAGTGATTTATTGAGAAAATGAAGTCCCTTCTAGCACCACAGCTTCACTATTACATTCTAAATCAAGGGTAGAGCACCTTTTTTCTGCCAAGGGCCTTTGGCTATTTATAACATCATTGGCATCCCGATGTGACGGCTGGAATTGCTTCTCTTTGGTAAGGAGCGTCATGTTCACTGGTAAGGAAGATTTCAGGGGCCTTATATGGCCCGAGGACCGAGAGTTCCCCACCCCTGTTCTACATGGTTATGAGAAGCAGAGGCGTGAAGTACAGAACTACAATTGGCTACAGAGTTCTCTGCAATTCTCGATTCACGCTGCTGGTTTTCCACAGGCATAACGTAATCTGAAATATCTGAGTATGAACTCCAGGCGCCTTTTCTGTTTTTCTCTTTACTTGTTGGCCCCAGACTAATCCTAAAAAAAACAAGAGCTTTCCATAATGTGTGCCCAGACTGCACCTGTCCCCAGAATCTATTGACATAGGGTGAGAAAGATGAATTGTACAGATTTTTTCCAATTAGTCTAAATATCACTACAGTTAGATAATAAGTGTTTAGCAGAAATGACCATGTCTGCCTACAGGTTGCCGAGAAGCAAAAATGATGACATCTACGTATCTTGGTTCCTCCGACTCACCACTTGCTGTGTGAGAGACCTCACAGGACACCAATGCCCATTCCTCAAGAAGCTTCTAGGGCTCAGGGCATTCCCTTCAGATGACTAAATTGGCTCCTACCACTTCTTTCCCACACTGCTTAATTACTAGGGCAGCGGGTGAAGAAGAGAAAATGAAGGTAAAGGGGTGATGGTGAAGGGAGATGCGAAACTATCTCTATGTGCCCTGGACATGCTCTTTCTCATGCACTGCACTGTGCCTCCCCCGGAAAACATGCCAGCTCGGCTGAACCATGATTCTCAGTGGTTTGGAAGTTATATAATCATGCAATCACAGCCCCTGCTCCCTTGATGTGATCAGCCAATCAGTTATCAAGGGATGAGGGTAGGATGCAGCACCTTTACTGAGGTCATAGCCCAGGTTGCTATAAGGGGAGTTTTAAAGATAAAAGGAAAGAAGAGAGCAGAGAGAGAGGGATCTCGGCACCAACAAGTAAGAAGCAGAGTTGTCCTCCAAACCCAGAGTCCCTGTGCTAAGAACCTCCTAGATCCTGGGGAAGACCGGAACACCACAGCAGCGTAGAGATCTCCAAGGAACACCAGGTCCACGATGTTGAAAGAAAGCCTTTCCCTAGAGCCGGCACTTTAAGTTAGACTTTCTAACCTCCTAAAATGAGAGAATGTATTTGCTAAAAACCATATACTTGTAGAACTTCTGCTATAGCAGTGCTAGGTACTGAGACAATATTGCATACAGAAAATGCTAAGACATTTAAAGAATGCTATTTGAATGAACAAATTCAGAAACATGGCAGGATATAAGCTCTTTAATGCACGAAAATCAATTGCATTTTTGTACAGTAGCAATGAGGAAACTAAAAATAAAATTAAGACAACAATTCCATCTGTAATAGTTCCAAGTAATTCAGAGTAAGTTTAAGTAAAGAAGTAAACAACTTATATCCTGACAGCTACTAAAGATTACTAAAAGAAATTAAAGAAGATCTTAATAAATGGAAAAACGTCCTATGCTCATGGATAGGAAGACAAATGTGATGAAGATAACACTGTCCCTCAAATTCATGTATACATTCAATGCAACCCTTATCAAAGACTCAGAGCTTAAAGAAGCTGACAAAACGGTGTTAAAATCCATGTGAAAATGCACAGCACCCAGGGTAATGTAAGCCATCTGGAATGAAGAGCAAAGTTGGGGATTCTCATTTCCCGAGTTCGATGTTCACTATGGATCTATAATAATCAGTAGTGTGAGACTCATACAAGGATGGCTACATGGATCAGTGGACTAGAACTCAGAGTCCAAAATAAGCCCCCACACTTCTGGCCAACTACAATTTAAATAGGATGCCAAGACAATTAAGTGAAGGACAAAATCGTCTTTCCAGCAAATGGGACCAGGACAGCTAACACACATGCAAAGGGAGGAAGTTGGACCCTCACCTCACGCCCTATTTTTAAAATCCACTTGGATGGATCAAAGCTTAAATGTAGCAGTCAAATTATATAAGGCCCGTGAGGAAAAGAGAAGTAAATCTTAATAGCCTTGGATTAGGCAATGGTTTCTTAGCACAAACCACCACCACCAATTTTTTTAAACCATTCTGTAGGTTGTCTTTTAATTCTCCTTTCAGTGTCTTTTGAAACATTAAATTAAAATAAAATTTTAATGATATCTATCTAATTTGTTGTTGTTGTGCTTGTGTGTGGCAGCTGCTGTTGTTGTGTGGTCTGGATGATTATAGCTAGAAAGTCAGATGATCAGTAGTGTTGTCAAGGACGGAATCCTCATGCAGTGTTGGTGGGAATGTGAAATGGTACAGACTCCGTTTCACAATTGCTTAGAACATTAAATAGCTACCCTGCGACCCAGCA